ATACTGTATGTAGAGATTTTAGACATCACAATGCATTCATCTTCGTGGACCATGAATATGATTCAGCAAGACAGGCTCATCTTTTCACTCATTTCGCTGTGAAATCAGATAGATTGATTGTGTAGCAGATGATATTGCATCGATTAAACCCGATACGATAAGAGCAGTTGCTAATCATTTGGAGCATGAGGGCTGTATGCAAGATCTTTCGTCAGAGCACCAGAAGGTGTTTACACTCCTTGGTCAGGTAAAAGCCATAGCTGGTAAGATCACAGGTTCCGAGGCATCTAAGGTACTTTATCGAAATGAGATGAGGGCATATGCAGGCCATTTTGGACTGTTTCACCTTTTTTTCACTGCAAACCCTGCTCCTGCACATAGTCCCATATTTCAGTTTATGTGGGGTGACAAGACTGTTAATTTGGATGAACGATATCCTCAGATTGCAGAATATGCTCAGCGAGGATTGCGTCTTGCCCAAGATCCGGTGGCTGGAATGGACTTCTTTGATTTCGTGGTGCGATGTCTATTCCAATATATGTTTGGGTGGGATTTTGACAGTGCATGTCCACAGAAGCAGGAGGCATCCTGGGTCACCTGGAAGCGTTTTACGGTACGGACGAGCTGACGGTCATGGAGCATATCATGGACATTTCTTGCTGATATTAAAAGGATGTATGAATCCTACTGAACTGCATAGAAAGTTGGAGGAGTCTAGGGATTTCCAGGACCGGTTTTTTGCTTTTCTTGATGATATCATTGTACACGATCTACTGGATGGAATTCCCTTCGATCACGATGGTAATCCTAGAACTGAAAGGCCTCCTGTTGTACCTAGTGAGGACGCGACTGCCGAAGAATGGGACATTTTTCGATCTGTGATCAAACAGGAGGTCAAGTATGTGGGAGAGCATCTTCAGCATCATGTGCATGAGCCGGTTTGTTACAAATATGATCATAGCACTTGTCGTTTTCAATTTCCTCATGACTACATTTCCATCTCTTTCTATGATCCCGAATCGAAGTCAATTGTTCCGGCATGTTGCGATGTTTGGGTCAACTATCATAATAGGTCGATTCTTGTGTTCGGTCGCTTCAATCATGATTTGAGGTTTGTATTGTCAGGAAAGTCGTGTAAATCCGCCATGTTTTATATCACGGATTATATAACAAAAATGAGCGTTAAAATGTATGAGCTGTTGACTTTATTAGCAGATGCTGTCCTTCGTGCCCACGCCACTGGGTCAACAAGTGATACACATTTATGGGCTCGCACTGTCATCCACAAGTGTTTGTCCCAATATTCAAAGCAGCAACAAGTCCATGCTCAACAAGCGGCCAGAGTTATTAGAGGCAAAGAGGAGGCATTTCGATCACACGATACAGTACCTATGATGTCGGGTCTCCTAATGGAGCATGCAAAATCTTATTGTCAGATTGGTGACACTGATGGGGACAAGGAAGTGGAGGACGCATTTGTTACCCTTCACGTGGATGAAGACGGGAATTTATCAAAGAGGTCTCAGGTGCAAGATTACCTGCACCGCAATCCAGAGTTGTTTGATGTCTCGTTTTATGATTTTGTTGCAAGGTTCAGAGTGGAACATAAGCGCGATCGCACTGCATGTACTAATGATCCGCTCAGAGAATATGAACAAGGGTCCAGGTCAACCCGACTTCCTCATTACGAACTCCTCTCTGGTTATTCGTTGCATAAAACATATGAGATCGTGGAGCATACATCTATTGACGAATACCCATATCGTACTAGGAAAGTACCTAGAATTATCGGCCATAAGTTACCTAGAGTGAATGATCCTTGCTATGCATTGTTTATGCTCACGCATTTCAAACCTTTTCATCTCAACATTCCGTTGTTGCATCCTGCCGACTCAGTTTCAGAAGTCTTCAGGACTTATAGCTTTAGTGAACAAGCAGTCCGGTGCATGTCGAATTGGGAAGCCATGCATGAGTGCGAGGACGAGAGGGATGCTGAGCGTTTGTGAAAGCGACAGTCACTCGCCAGGAGTTCGCAGCTGGTCACAAACATGTTTGCGCATAAGGATTTAGACAGTCTCGTCGAACTAACTGGTAAGACTGATGCAGATAAAGCATGCAATTCAAAAGCGCATGTGCAACTCGTGCGCTTGGGTGAAGCTAATTTTTTTGCGCCTTCGTGGGATGTTCCATGCACAGGATCGAGTTTTGCCTCCAGCTCTTCAGTGCCGTACGGGTTCAAGATCATGCCTGCCATGATGACCGATTGGCAGTCAGAGATTAAACATCAAGAAGCACAGGTGATGGCATCCAGGCTCAACGCAGGTGATGTAAAAGAGCAGACGGATGGTAGCTCGAATTTGCCCATTCGATCTACTACAAATAATTTATCATCCGATGATCTTGACCATGATGAAGGTTCATTGTCTGTGTTTATACCACCTCCTGTCATTGGTGTAAAGGCCACTTTGTCCCATGCTGCTCAGAAGAGGCAAACTGTGCTGGAACTGATGAATGCCATGGTCACAAAATGGAAGTTGAACCCTGAACAGGAGTACGCTTTTCGTTTAATGGCTACCACATATGTGAAGCGAAAGTTTTCGCAGCCCTCTTCGACTCCTTCCGCTGTAGAGCCTTTTCCCTTGAGATTGTTCTTGATGGGTCCAGGCGGGTACGGGGAAAACCTATGTTGTTCAGGCTCTTACTGAAGTTATGGCTGCTTTCGAATCTGCTCACACTATCCGTTTCATGGCTCCCACCGGTTCAGCCGCTTCCAACAATGATGGGATGACCTTGCATAAGGCTTTTGATTTGCGCATATCTAATAAAGCATTCAAACACACCAATAAATCCCTTGGCAGGAAAGACACTTTGTATGTGACAATGACCGTGAAGGGGTGGAATCAGCTCAGAGATCAGCTAAAAGATGTCAATGTTATTGTCATAGATGAAGTCTCTATGCTGCAGCAGGAGCTTTTACCGGAGATCGATGCCGCCTGCCATTATGGCAAGAACCAGCTGAATTGGTGGTTTGGTGGTATGATGGTTATCTTTAGCGGTGATCTGTATCAATATCCTCCCATTGGAGGTTCTCCTGTTTATGCGTGTGCTACTCATAATCAGAAGGTGGACCATGAGAATCTTAACAAACGACTTGGTCGTATGGCATGGAACTTGATCACAGATGCCATATTCTTGCACCGTCAGAAAAGAATGGAAGCGGATGAAGAATATAGTCAGGCCATTTCTCATTTATGTGAAAGAGTATGCACACAAAAGGATGTTGACCTATTCAATGAACGCGTTATATGTTCTAGCTCACATCCACATGGCATAGATATGGGTGCACCTGCACATAGTAAAGCTGTGGCTATCGTTACTACAAACTTCCTTCGTCATGCGATTAATTGTTACAAGGCTATTAGCAAAGTGCCTGAAACTCATCTATTCAATTGCACTGCTTTGGACAAGGTGAACGGTCATATTGTTCCCGAGCAATACCGACGGGCTCTGCTGAACCAAGATGTATCTGCCTTGATGAATCAGGGGGGTTTGCCCAGTATAATACCATTCTATGTTGGTATGCCAGTAATTCTACAGTATCGCAACCTTTCGATGGATCTGAAGATAACAAATGGGGCTCAAGGTTATGTCTGTCATCTTGAATTAGCCAATGACCCATACAATTTCACATATCTTATCGCTATCGTTGTAGAGTTCCCTTCTTCGAAAATCAAACTCTCCAGTCTCCCCACGGGATACTTTCCCATAAAGCCCGTGTCTTGGACATTCAAACACAAGATGGTCAGAGAGTCTGGGAAAGCCGAGTTCGTTATGGTTACACGTGAACAAGTGCCCATACAACCAGGTTTTGCTTGCACTGGTCATGTAGCACAAGGACAAACCATGCCTGATGGCCTTTTGATGTATCCCAGTGAAGGAGGGTATCAAGCTTATGTTGCTATGTCACATGCTACCAACAGAAATGGTCTTTTTATAGCAGATAAGGTGACATTATCCGACTTGAATAAACCATTGCCACTTGACCTCAAACTGGAAATGCACAAGTTTGAGAACATTGCTCACAATACCCTCATCAGAAACGGGTTCAAAGAAGGTCAGATAATAGAAATTGAAGATTTGGCTTCTGTACCCTACGATGTTGAATATGATGAAAAAGCCATGAAGCGTGCTAGAGAAGATGGTGAAAGCCATGGCAGTACTAAAAAACAAAAGAAACACGACATGATGCAGTCATATTCCTTATATGGATGTAAGTGGGATCACGATAACTGGTCCTGCACATACGATTCTCTGTTAACACCTCTGTTCTACTTGTATTGGTCTCAGAGCACCATTTGGCAAGATGCATGGGTAGCTTCCACCGAGGTGACCGGTCTGATTGGTATGATATTCCGATCTATGGGTGTTAATGGAGGGAAAACCACTTCTGCTCTTCTTGACTCTGGTCAGGATCGTATACGTGATCTTTTGTTCACTCGTTATCCTCAAAGTTTCCGCTGATTTGGTAAATCTATGGCAGGTGTCGCTGATTTAGCTGATACGATGCGGGGAGATACTGAGCATAACATACTTCCCTATGTCCACTGTGACAGAGGATGTTACATTATCTATCAGATGCAAAGACGTCTTTTGTCAGCATATGTGGTCCATTGGCATGGATGCAAATGGGACAACCAATGACTGCCGCGGCTGTGGCTTCTATACAGGATTGGTTGACAGTCTTATTACTATTTCATTCATGGAATGGCAGTGGGTTCCAGTCCGCCTTCGAGCATGTTATATCTGCACATAGATGCAGTGGGTATATGCAATACAGTGCAATGTTCGAGTCTCCACCTCCTTTAATGTCTTTTCAGCTCTGGCCTGAGTATGCCGCCCGGACTTCGATTAACCTTCAACTTACAGTTCCTGTACAAGGTGGGACGTGCGCTTATGTATTGGCATTCATTATTTACTTTGGAGCAGAGCATTTTTGTTCCCGTATATTTCTACCGAACACAGCTTACGAGTATGATGGCATGAAGGATAACGGCTTGCTTTGTAGTATATCGTTGAACAAGCTTAATCTGAACAGACTTGGCTCTAAAACCGCACATCTTGTAGTATACATTCTGGTTTAGATCAAAGCAATGTGTTACATTAATTCAGAGGACACCTATTCTTTTGTACCGTTACAATTATGGAATTCTTCAGTTTTGTATTCAATTTTGTCGCCTCCTTTGCTTCTGCCATCTTCATCATGTTCTTCGATTCTACGTCCAGCTCTTCTCCTGTCAGACTATCCAGCATTCCTTTGTTCTGTATCACAACAGCCACACGAAACTTGTGACCCATCACATGTTTGTCAAACCAGTGAGGTCGAACTGTTTTGCTGGCATGTTCCCTGTGTACAATCACGAAGACGTTGGTATCCCGAGGTGTTGGGTGTGAAGGAACTAAAGTTCTTGGCTTTAGCGTCTTTGTCGCACGTCCGATCTTATATAGCAGGATAACCTGGTCACCATCATTTTCCGCCCATATGGTTTTTTCTACCCCATCTGCTTTGACCACGAGTTGCTGGTTCCTGAAGGCTTCTTGGTATATCCAATGGTCCTTCGGTAGTCCTTCCTCGTCACTTGCTCTCGGATTCCATGCCACATCTTCCATAGTAATAATCATCGATGGTGGTGGGTGTTCACCCTCAAGCGGTGGTGTGCATCTGTGGATTGGAGATGCGCTTCTTTCCCTTTGGGGAGGGTTGATTATTGTGCTCGGTAGCATATAACCTTCGAACATATATCGCTCTTGCTTGAGGAATTCAGCTTGTGGGTGATATAACATTTCATTTGGCCAGAGTGGACAGTATGAATATAAAGGCCACCTTGATCTTGAAGTCTGTTAGTGTCAGTGTATCGTAATGTATGTTCAACTGCTGACCTGCGTTCCGTGACTTGCTCATAAGCCACGGTCTCCATTGAGAATGGTCTGTTTGGATCATATGTTGCGTCGTATCGGACCAGAACTTTGACACCGCTGGGGATTTTCAGATCCAAGACGACATCTTCTATGGTTCCATGTGCTTTTCTACACCCTGGTATGGAAACATTTACTTGTATGCCTATCCATGGTACTTTGCATGTCTGCATGTTCAGTTCTTGTTTGCGTGTGTTGTTTTGTTGGAGGAAAGCATATATCTTGTCAGATGGCTCACCTTGTCGCAAGGAATTTGCATGAGTAGTGAAGAACTACCAATGGATCAGTTTTTGCTGCCTTTCTCTCCTTTTTTTTTGGTGACTTTGACCACTTACCTCGACGGATGTTTGTTTCCCATCAGTGTTTCTTTCCAAAACCACCACTTCGATATCAAGATCTGATTCCTGCAATTCAATTACCCATCCCTGGTGTCCTTCAAGCACATCTGTAGTTGCCACCATGAAATCTCCTGGTTGAAAGTCCTTGCGCAGATCCCAGTATGTTGTCTCGACTGTTGTCGATGTCTCTTCGTGCCATACTTGTACACAATCTCGTGTGGATCCAGTTACAATGCCATTTGAGCCCAGCGACTTGATTGATACCCGTTCATCGACGTTGAACAACCACCCATGTGGTGGAGGCATTTTTTGTGACCACTCATGCAAGACCGGTAAATTGCTGGTCAAATATATGCCTGCGACATGCGGTTCGATTCGCTTGGCCTCCTCGACTCCGTAAGAAGATATCTTCTTGAGCATGAGTCCTCCTATAAATTTATGTCCACAAAAAATTGTGACAGTGTCATTGAACGTCCTTTCATGCTTAGTTGCATTTGCACCATCTCGAAACCGTAAAGGATCAAATAGGTGGGATGGAGCTGGGTGTTCCGGTCAGTATCGGCGTTTTCCTTGGATGATAGGCAGTTTGAGGCTCAACCGAGGAATGAGCAATACTATAACGTTTCCCGGTGTAGTCTCGTATATAACACCAATGTCGTCTCAATACAGTCCACATTTAATGCAGACCCATGAGCCAGCTTGAAGATGCTGCTTGTCATCTTTGTGGAGGATAGTTCCCCATTCCGCAATATCTATTGACTCGACTCTGAAATACCATGGCGGAGCATAACCCATCTTCCGTACTCTGGGTGTCATGAGAAGGAATTTTTTTACAACTTCATTGTAAGGTGCTTCCATATATATCCATCCACATCGATTATTGCGGTAGAAAGCAGAGCATATATCATGTCCTTTTGTGTTGGACATTATATGTTGTATAGCCTCATATTCTTGAAAACACTGGATGTACTCAATATGACGCATCAAACATACAAATTGTACTCACCTCACATCATACCCTCCATAACAGATAATCCTGCTTTTCAAATCAACGAATATTACTGGGGTTGCTCCCCAACCGATAGTCCATGTTCGATCGGCACTCATTGGTTTTTTGCGCCTTGGATCTGGTTGATATCCAGCAATTCGCAATATCCTCCATCATCGCGTCAAATTCATCTCCACCTCCTTTGTGTGCAGGTTTAGCGGTGGTCAGCGTTTCGTCGGGAAAATCGGAATCATCGATAAAGTCTAGATTGCATTGGTGTATATCTAGGACATGTCAGAGGTTACGTACCTTCTATGTCCTCGTCACTTTCATTGTCTTCCTGGTCTTCATCATTGACTATAGCTTCAAGGTCAAGGAATGTGTGTTCCATGTTGCGTTGCCATTCTCGGTGTTCATTTTTACTATCTTGCATCATATATTCCTTTTATTATCTACATATAACATTTACAATTGGTATGGGTGCGATAGACATGCTGGGACCACTTACAGTTAGATCGTGATGAAGGGTGGAGGTAAAAAAAGGAGACCATGGGAAATGCGATCTCCAACAGGAAATGGTGTGTTTTGCATTATCTCCAAACGTCCGAATTTTTTTGGGGACTCATCCTGTTCCTGATCATTGGCACCATCATACCTTGCTGCTGCTGGTCCTTGCATCAAATCCTTGATAGGTCAGTGTCATGCTGTACTCAGTCAGACATATGATATATTTACGATTAAATTTGTAGACATCCTGTCCTATTTTCCAGGATGCCATCTATTCCATGCACGATGCCCAAGCGGAATGCGCTATTGGGGCATATGACTGTCCATGCCCATCACTCAACATGGCACAACATGCACATGCCCTCTCTTTAACCTATCATTGGTCAGGGACAGTGAAAGCCTTTGTAAGCATCTATGACACGCATGAAGTTCATGTCTGACTTGCATGATATAGAGACAGTGTATGATAACCACGAATATAGAGACAAAATATAACAACATGGTTGCATCCTGCAACAAGCCGCTGGTGTGCTGATGCTCTCAGCTTTCGCTTGAAGACATGCAGTAAGTGATACTCTCAAGCATCAGGGCAGCGACTCATGTGTCTGATGGAATCAGGTCATCTTGACAACTATTGGCAGCTTTGGGTCTCTGGATGTGAATGTCTGAGAGCGCCGAGGGTCTCTGCATATACTGAATAGAAAACCTTGTAATAATGTGGTGCATGCATGCTTCCAGAAATTTGATTACATTTTGTCATGCACAACTTTGTAGCGCTTTGGTCCCTTCGTTATCGTCAAGGCTTCTCTCAGCGTCCATCAACATGAATGCAACAGACTCATATGCTCCACTCCTGAGCCTAAACAACGAGCACTACCTGCAGAAATGTTGTGGTGCCATTACATGCATATGGTGAGCATTCTTCAAACACAATGGCTATCTTTTGTATTCATGGGCAATGGGTTATAGTGATGTACAAGGCAACAAGGGCGAAGACAGCACGTGCACCCAAAATCCTTCACCATCCGACACCGAGTCGGAGTCTGATGGGTGGTCAGATGCATCCAGTTTAGACCCACTCTTGGACACTACACCTCCCACTATCCCCGCTTATTCTTCCAGTGTACCTGGACCAATCGACTTCATGGTGCTTGACAGCAGCCTTGATGACACTGTGGGTAACATGTCAGCAATTTTCCTCAAGTACATACAAGCTTTCCCCCCATCGACCTCGGCTCATGAGCTGCATGATGCTCTCCAAAACTTATATGACATCTTGCAACAGGTGGAGGAGTTGGCATGATGGATTGACGAGGCAGAGGTGTCAGACTGGAACAAGGCCCAATATGTACATGCCTTGCAGACCGTTTTCTTCAATCAGCATGTAGAGTGGAATTCCGATTCGGAGCTGTCTGAGTAGGGGTTAAAACGGGTACAAGTGTTCAGTCCATGATGTTCTTTCTGTACCCATTGATATGTTATTTCTTTTTTTGGCTACAATGTAAATACTGAGATTACTGCTCTACAATACTATCATCTCATATGAGGCTGAGAGATTTCAGATGCTACAAGCAGAAGGTATGACCTTTGATCTACACAATCTTCATGACATCTTGTCTGCGCTTGCGAGGTAAGGGACGCTGCACTTCATGGTTTCTGCTCGCCATTTCCATGGCTTGCACCAACTGAATTGTTCATGTAAGCTCTTAGTCAATTCAATAGTCAGGGATAAGATTCTTACAGGGGCTCCCACAGTTGACATTAAGGCTATACTGTCCAGGCACTGAACAAATGATAGGCTGGGTCCGCGTTTACATAAACAGAACGATACTCCTACATTTACAACCTGTCCGGGGAGGAAAACACGTGGATCTATGTTGGAGGTATGAATGTATCAGGTTATCTTCCATCAACAGACGACCGAAGATTGTACATATGATGAATGCTTACTGTCCATCAGCTGTCCGGCTGTACTTCTCGAGTGACACGTTAGAGTCTTCAGTGAATGAGAATTTGTTAGGCTGAAGCTCCTTCGATAGCAAGTTATGAGGGTCAACCGCAGCTGGCAAAGCTACAACATCGTCCTTGTTCACCGCATGCAAAGGAGTTAACAGCCGGTTGCGAAAGGTGACCTGGGCGCCGTTACCCGTTCGCGTCTGCGGCAATGCACGAACGTGGTTCATCTCTGACTGGCTCAACAGATCGAGCATGCAGCTGATTGCCGCTAATGCTTCAACGAACTGGCGATCACCTTCCAATCCAATGATAGTTATGGATTGTTGGAGATGATTAACGGAAACCCTGCATACGATCTCAGTACATTACAAACAAACTAAGAATAGCAGAACATCTAGCCTTTGATTGTTTGCATTGCCGTGTACCGGAGGCAGGGCGACTTCGAGAACGATCCCTTGCATTTGAAAGACCATTTCTTCTCTTGTCTCTTGATTCACAATGAATGAGGCATCCGGTCGAGATTCAGAGTCTACCATGGTTTCTGCCAAAAGATGTTGGATATCCCCATACCCAGCAAGTTGAGATGGGTTGTTGTTACAGAACATGATCGCATCTTGATATTCCATCCCTATATCATGCAGTTCAGATGTGGTCTTCACGTGCATCATAAAGACTTACTGAGAGTTTCGTTGCCCATTATCGATGTTAGATTAGAGAGAGTTGCGCTGTATCGAGTGAATGACATGGTACTGCAAGACCAGATGTTATTCTTGAAATCCGGCCTTATATTTATACCTCTACAACAAGTGGTAATATTTCATATAAGTTCATAACATGTGCCGAATTATTTGCCGCCCTTTCCTCTCTCATAGTCCTGCAGTGTTCCGTACATGCATAAAGGGTCTCCTGTCCTCTTTGAGACACCGATACAACCCGTCTCTTTGTCTAGCCTGTTGTGCGCCCCGCAAACTGTTTTCTAGACAGAGTATAGTCCCTTACGCCCTATGGATATTATCGACAAATCCGCGGAGTCTTGTTGTAATACTCGCCTGTTTCATTCCTGTACTATCTTCCACTTTTAGTTTTGAATTTTTTAAAAATTTCCCCTCAATGCGAGGCCGAGTGTATCAGATCTCACTATAAAGAAAGATGACGACGCGGTGGCTTTACATTCGCGATATACGCGTGTTACGCCCATCTTCTATGGAAAATCCTGCTTCAAATTGTGTAGAACATCTATATTCACAAATACCGCGGATAATGCGTACTCCACTACATACTGCTTTCGTGCATGAAATTGAAACTGAATTTACGTTCGATGTGGCTGGTACTATACATTAGCATCACTGTGATATGTGTAATACGACAGACTTACACCTTCAAGGTCTGACTCGTCTTAGCTTCATCTGCTAGAGTCATGTCGACGTATCGGCCCGAACTCATTCTTCACTTTCAAAGTGAGCACATTGCCTCTGAGACCACTTCTTTTTCTGATCATGCCATCGAATAGCCTGTTATGAGGCACAAAGTCATGATCTACCAGGTGTAACACTACCTGATGTTCAGCATCAAGCAGCGCCCATACTTGATACACAGAACCCATATCACTGGGCATCAGCCATAAGTCAACATCAAATGACACCGTGCAATGGGAATAGATTACTTTTCAAACAGATACCATGATAGGCTCCCAGCAATGTGTACCATACAAGATTCCGTTGCACCAGCTGGAAGGATCCTAGAGGGTAGATAAATACGATTAGGGATAGGATAAATATGTAGTATCACTCACGGTTGTGTGAACAACTTCTTCAGTAAGACTAAAAACTGTTCTTTCTGTGGTACATGTGGCAGGCCACATTGCTTCAGTCGTTCTTGAACCTCAGTCACGAATTTATATATTAGATGAAGTCTGCGACCTGATCTTGATATCATGTGATAGATCATCACTAAGCATATGCCGTTTGTCTACCCTGTTCTTGTTGGTTCCTCGGCATTCCCAGCTATCCCGCTCATGCTCGGAGAAGCTAAATCACGGTGGCTTATATCGCACACAATTCTCAGTGTCCTTAACATAATATTATATTCGTTTCGCACACATACAGCATCTCCACTCTGATATGCATTCCACTCCCATAAATCTTTTTTCTCCTGAGATACTGCTGAAAATATTTCAGCACGTCCTTTCGTCCATTGATGATGGGAAACGTCTCTCGCTAGTACAGAAACAGTGGTTGCCCTTTGCTCATGGTTATATGTTCGAAGCACTGAAAGTCCAAGAGGGGGAATGTGACCTACCTGCGTGTTGGTCTCTCCTTGAAAAAAACCAGTCCATTGAGCATTATGCGAAGCATATCACCTTCACCGGCGACATATTCGTCCTCGACAATCACGTCACCTCATCCATGATCCTTCATCATCTCCCATATCTCACGACCATTGTCTGTAACACATTTGAACTCGACTGGACAGTATTAACCACCAGTCCTGTCTCCATGCTCCACCTCCTTCAGCTGCGCTGCTGCCATTTGCCGGATACCATATGGTCCGATGTATCCACAGCATTTCCATCCTTATCTTACCTCCAAATAATTGACTTCGTTGCAACTGTTGGGGCATCAGATATATGCGACATTGACACAACCACTGTCCTTCGATCCTCCCACCAGATGCACTGGCTGGTTATCAAGTCGGCAACACAGGCCACTATGGACTCGTTCCTTCATTTTTGTTCTACATCTTCATTCTTCGCCACGGTCACAGATATTTCGCTGCGAATAAGGAGTGACATTTCAGATGTATTCCATCACGCTTTACCAGACGTGGCTCCAAACATGAAAACATTTTCTATTGTAAGACTTGGTACGTGAGCTCAAAACCGTTCATGGCCAATGTTCATTGCTTCATTAGATCATCTCGGACCTGTTCCCTGTGTTTTCAACATCCACAAGCTATGCGTTCTATCATCGCTATCTGTGGAAAGTTGCACTTGTCTCCACCAAGATCTGTTGCTCTTGGTCAGATCCCTGAAGGATATCAGCACGCTATCATACCTCCATGTCTTGTATGGGGTCGAGGAGAACAGCAGCTTGCTAGATTTTAGATTGCATGCAGCAGCATGGGAATTGATGGTGATAGCATTGTTGGGTAACACCACCTTATCTCATATAAGCATCATTCTTTACGATAAAGATCCGGTTTTACTATACGACTTACAGATCACACTGGATGCGCTTCGTTCCACCTTGAACGGTACTTCCATGATACCAGATACCGAGGTCTCCCTTACCCATCATAGTCACTTCCCCTATTTACCCCTTATGAATTGGTAATTAAGAACACAGTATTCTTATAAACCGAGCGTTGTGCTTTCTTACACTCTACCAATGTACACCCATCATGATACGAATTGACTTCGAAGGTCTAGATCTTACCAGGCTCAATCATCGGTGTGTAGAGCACTATGCACCACTCCCTCCTGGACCAGTCATCAGCTGACACCTCGCCACACTTCTAAGAATATTTGTTGGCATCAATGTCACCTCGACTGATGCTAACGCGCTGCTGTCGGGTCCAGATGATGGGACATCGCAAGCTTCCCACCTCAACATACTGGGTCCCACATGGGTGTTTACCGACAATGCATCCCTGGCCGCCATATTGGCCCAGTTGCCCTTTTTACAATCCGTGCTCATAGACAGAAGCACCATAGATTTGGCAAGGACCATTACCATGTCATCCATGAGGTGCCTCATACTCTGGAATTGCCACCTCACATCTTCCGCATTGCACTATCTATTGACCGGGATGCCGACGCTATCATTGTGTTGCATCGGTGGTCTGTCTATCTCCATGAGATACTTGCATTGCACTGACACCCGTCCACTATCCCTTCCCGTTACCCTCTCTATGTTGCACCTAAACCTCACTTGTTTACTCTGCTGTGACTCTGTCTCCGATGAAGACTTGGAGGGTCCACTCGCTGCGAAGCTACACAGCTATTTCTCAGACTGGATCCTTTGGTGTACAACACCCATCCTACTATCCACTCTGCAGCTCAGTTTGTCTGTGCAGGATGTCCGTCTTGCCCGACACATCATCGGACTAGCAAGCACAACACTACAACATTTAACTCTCAAGTACCTAGGTGATTGGTTTCGCTTGCCTGACTCTCATGATTGGCTCACAGTATCCACTTTACAGACAATGAGAGCGGAGATGCATATCTTGATCTCAGTGCCATGTTTCATCTAGAAACATTTACCGCTGAAGTGCCATACAGGCACCTGGAGAGCTGTGTCAGAAGCTTGATATCCCTGTCATCATCTAAAGCAACTGTCATGGAACTCAGTATCCCAGTTACGGACATGCTCCATTCGTACGAGGCGCTGTGTGCGCTGGATGAACATTTCTATTATCACGGCATGATTCTCTTTCAAAGCTGAACATAGCCTTGCCTGTACTCGATGAAGATTACATCGAGCACGCGGATACCCTTCACTCGCGCATGGAGAGTCAACTCCCCCACCTATCCGCAGGAGTGAAAGTCAGCTTTCGTTGGGGAAGCGACTGGGTAATAGATAGGATGTTTGAAAACTGCCCTCGTACATCACTGCCCTGTGCCCCATCAAACATAAGGCTGATTCAACATGAAGTGTTTAATTGTATGGGCTAATTAGACTGTCTGTTTATGATAGTGAGCAACAAATTCCTTCATATTGATATCATTCCTATAGCAAATGTTATATTCAGTGTAAGCTATGAATATTAGAGTACTGCACCTACCAATTACCCATGTGTGGCATAACTTTTTCCAGCATACCATCTGACAAACAATAAGATTTGAACATCATCTTCCCTTTCATGATGGCAAAATTTATAACGACACCCTTCCGTCGCGGCTCCATATACTTAAGTGTCCATGTGTCCATGTCAACCTCAGCATCATCATCTTCTAAGAACGGTCGTCCCAATGCTTCTACAGATCTCTCTTTTCCCAACACCCATCACAGCGTGTACTGATCGCCGACAAAACGGTCAACATCAGGGAAATCCAATGTACTGTCATGTATTACATCGCTGTCAACGATGAAATGTGGAATGGGCACCCATCCTCTCTGTCTATATTTGACCTGGGCTTCTAGTTCACGCTCGTCAGTGGTAAAGCGTGAAGCGGATGCATGATAGTCCAGTGTCGCCCTCGGATATAAAGAGTATGCACGTGCATGTGTGATAAAGTTCATTGTGCAAGCTACGACATTCAAACTAAATCAATGCAAAAGTTTTTAATGAGTTTATTATAAACACACTGGAATGAAGCCCCAAGATCACTTCGATTTCCTCTCGAACACACATTACGAGTCTCACGACTCTGTCCAATGATGTTGATCGGTATGTTTCTATGCTTTCAATAGATTTAACTGATTTTCCCAATGTCGGAAACCTGAGATTGATAGGCGCATCATCGTGTGCCACCTCCAACAAGGTGCATACAACCATCCTATTATCCAATGCATACCCCATTGAAATCAAGAACCCTCTCATATGGACTGCATTTGCTCGATTAACAAGTAAATCCAAGTCACTGTTGATGTAAGCATCCCGAGTGAAATAGGACAGAGCAATGGATCCAATGATCATGGTACCAGACTTGCACTGCGCCACAACAAACTGAGGAACATCGTTCTCTGAAAAGAAAGGGCATAGCAGTTTTGAGACCGAGTATGTCCTCCTCATAAAATCTCCCACTGCATTGTAATTCCTCGTGTTAGTGTGAGCAACTCACAGTAGGTTTCCTGTTGTCATATCCCAGAAGATGAAGTCGTTCGTCAATCTTGGTCTGCTCACTAAATTCAGCCTACAGCAATAACACATATATGAAGACATACAAGCCAAACCCATTTTCGCCAGTCAGCTCTATCTTTCTGAACGGTGGCATAATGATAACGATGGTGATGCTGGTATATCGAGCGTCTGAAAACCCCATTTCAGACATTGAGAATATGTAAGTATATACATCATGGTCACTCCTGATTATTCTACTTTCCATGTCATTTTTGTGTCTCCATCAGCAGGACATACGTATTCAAACCTAATGACGTTACGGCTCTTTGACCCCTAGGTACATGTGATACAACAGAACATCGTGCCTTCGATGGTTTCGGTATGCAGGGCTATTGTGACCACGGATTAATAATACGAATAGTGAAGTAGACGGATATTTTATCGGCATACTTTAGACCCTTGTCCATCAGTTAGAATTCCCCCTTGACTTTACAAGGCAAAACTATAGCTTCTCGACCAACATTCATATTTTCTAACAAGCTACATAGACCCTTTCTCCTCACTACTGAAATTATGAGCAAGGGTCATACCTGTACAGCATACAGATTTTCTTGCATCCGGCTACAGGAACAGCGAGGAGTAACTGATCTGCCACATCAGGTATGTGATGTAATCTGCGCTCGGCTTCAAATACATGTACATCTGTTTTAGCTTCATGGACCCTTTTAAAATTGAAATCATACATATTGAGACAGAGGACCCTTTATGGCGTACCCAGTCTACTCACATGTAGAATCTCTTCTGACTCCGGTCATCCATAGCGGAACTTCCATCGCATAAATGACATTTTCTTGGATGGATTGAAGAATATGTCCGAGCAGGCTCCTCGGACTACAGTCTGCGATGACAAGATACCAGGTAAACCCATACAGTGAATCGACCCCACATATTTGTGTATGAACAACGTCATAGAGCTATATTTTCTGGTTATAACTGACCAGTGCTTGAGTGCTATTTACTACTGTTCGTTGCTTCAACGCTACCTGATCTCCTCTGCCACAACTGTACTTGCTATGATATCTCCCACCAAGCATAACACTTCCATTAACCCCCTTCCCATGACGAAACCATCTGGCAAGAAAAGAGTAAGATTGACCGTGCCAAAGTAGGCTCTTCTTTTCTGTTCATAATTCATTTCCTTTGATCATCATGGACAGTGCCCTGATCGAACAACGTTCCAATAGTGCTAGTGATGGCATGTCAGTACCTTCATGTGTCTCATGGAATCAAAACAACTGACCTTTTTAATTGTTTAGTACGGTCAACAGTAACTCTTCACCACTTGATGATATTGAAATGGGCATAAACAGCCCTCTGTAAGCTCATACCTGTTGTTCTTATACTGACACCGACTCTGTCTTGATAGGGCAACATCATCGCCTACCCCTGGCGAAGATGAGATGATGCAATACAACACGAACAGGTTCGCGTCCTTTACCATGATTTTTTTCACATTTTGCCTGATACTTCCAAGCATTCCCCTGGTTATGCTGAGTGGGTCTCAAGATACAATGATTATGGCCAACCCGTCCAGTTCTGATCACCATGAAGTCACCACTAAAGAGTGCATGTTATTACTTTTGGTAACATCAGCTTATATTCATGTACACCATTGCAAGCTTGTGCGTGGGGTACAATCCTTGGCTCGGTATCATAGATGCCATCCCCAAATTGCGACATATCAAGACTATTGACACCAACATGGAGTACGGAGAGGACTGGATCCAAATATACGACTGGGTTGATGGTTTTCAAAACAATCTCCCTTTCTTGTTGTGCGTATTTGCTATGATCTGTCGTCGCGTTACTGAGAAGAGATCATAAGGCACCTGATGATGCTGGCTTTCATCCCTTCCATGCCTCGTCTGACCAACTTGACTCTGGGAAAACCATCTGACTTCAAATATGCCAACAAGAGGATCACAGGCACATATACTTACCCTCAAAGTTTTTTTATGATAGGTTCGGTAACATTCTCTAGTCTGTTCAAAGGCGAATTCAATCATGCAATCGTGATTAAACCTTTGAAAAACTTCTGGCCTCGTCAAGCATCTGTTCTGGCTGAAATAATGGAAGTAGACTTTGATCGCAACCTCTTCAGTTTTAAGACAGTTCGAGACGGACTTGTATTCATGACATATCCCAAGCCAAAAGGTATGTCAACCTAACACCTAGAACAGCTTGAGCTAATACCATCACAGATCCATCAGCACCCCCTACACCTAGTAAGGCATGCCTTAACAGCAAAACATTCGGTCCACGTTAGTCTCACTTCCATTGTGTGTCAGCTGACTTACTAAAACACTCCTTAGCCGTCTGACACTGGAATGAAGATGGTAAATATACTACCTACATCATGCCACACACATACACTGATATATTCTGTTCAACAGTACCCTTGTTCAATGTGACGAGGGAGTTCGATCCCACGAAATTTCACAAATGCCCTCCAATCAAATCCGAGCTGGAGGAAGGAACCATTGCGTTGCTGATATTCACCACTATGAAGTACGGTGACGACGTGGGTTCTTTCAACATTCAAATTGTGGCCAAGATACACGATCCACCTGCCGTTACAAGTGGCACTATTCCGGCCAAACCGCTGCCTAAATATCTCACCAACCTTGGAGATATTGGTGTACTCGGCGAGGACTTTCCTGAGCTGACTTCCGAAGACAAAGAGGATCCTCATGACACCACCAGGGTGTATCTTTATGAGCTAACGAAATACAAATATGCATAGCATGTCACTTGTATCTTCCTAAACAATACATAGTATACTGTAATAAATGAACAGCAACTCTCAGTGGCGTTCAGAGGAACTTCACCCTGAAGGGGTATGTCCATCGGCGGAGAAGCTGAGTATGAGGTGACAGATACATATCACCTATATGTGCTGTCACGCTGTCCTTGCCAGCTTCTTCATAATCTAATGAATACATTCTGTCTGCAGCTCGCCAGTACATGGCAGAATCATTTTCCCATTCATATCACTTGAGCCGATAGTCTGACAAAATGTCCGAGACATCGTGAACATTTTCCATCGCAAATTGTAGGAATAATTGTATAGACAAAGACAGTCCTAATGCGCCACACAATGCATGAAGCTGTTGTCAACCTGGAGATAATTTCTGTTCTACATCAATACATTCCTGAGTACCGGGTCGAGACATATATTATCTGTGCTAGAAGCACTACTGCTGAACTAACTGCTAGCCCCCATCACCACATGGAAACTCATGATCTCAGACAGTACGCATATGCCGATACCCTCACATCGTATGCAACACCAGACCTCTTGCACGTAACATCGTCCAACCATTTGGGCTTGTCTACCAATCCTCACAAACCTTATCCCCCCTGTCCCGCTGATGCGTTACCTTACAGAAGGCTAGACATATGAGCAAGCTCGATTTATTTCTCGCCTGACCTTACCCTTCCGCAGATCTTCCTGGAGTCACTGCAACCTGACAACACCTTTAACAACATGGCCGTTAACTTCTCGGTAAGTGTATCTTATTCAAGAGAATCATGCTCACCATCCAACGTTCATCCAGAACATGCATACAAACCGAAATTCTCTACCACCTCCTTCACCTCCCTCAATTGCTCTAGCGTTAGGTGACGCTGAACACAAGAAAGTGCGCTTTATAATCCTTCTGATACCAAGGTCAAATACTGACACCGAGTAGGATATAAGCCAACTTACAAACACACCGAAAGAAATTGTCTGGTCACTGGGACGACCCAAACATTCCAACCAGGCAATTACCTCGACTTTCCGAGTCGCCAATACATCCACATCTCTTGCTGAAGTCCTGTGGCTTTTGGATCACAATGATCTGGAGCCGACTGACATCCGCAAAGCGATTTTCATGCTACAAGCAATCCTCAATAAGATGATAGAAAAGCAAGATGACAAAAAGGCAGATTAATTAGAAAATACATATTCACATATCCCACTATATAGTCTGCATACTGGATGGAACATCCACGACAAAGAGGACATGATGGTATGTGGTAGAAAAGAGAAACGTGAGAAAGTGCCTGAGCGTTATTTCGTACTGCATTTCAACCTTCGACCGATAAAACCAATATTTGAAATAAGGAAAGTATCGGGGACCCGGCTTCCGCCACTACTGGATTGTTTCCCCATCCAATGCTGAGTGCTGACGTGTCATCCTCTCCCTTTACCCAGCACCACCGGATGACAGTGCACATCTGCCATCATCAATTGGACCTGTGAGGACACGACGTCGAGGTTCAAAAGAAGGAGACTTGTGAGTATTTCAGGTACCAGAGAGGCTTGTGCAGTGCTCACTCTCAGCAACAGGGTTGTTACAAGGGCAAAACCTCTCTGTACGGTCCAGCAGCTGAAGGAAGAATGCAAATCTCGGGGGTTAAAGTGTACAGATTTGAAAAAGGAGTTGATAGACCGGCTTGCGCAACATGGCTTTGCTTTGCTGAGGTGTGTAGGCTTTATATCCCCTAGTAGGGTCGCTTTTCTAACACTGCTGTTGTGCAGTAACATGCCCCAGTCATCACAGCAAGTCTCTGGCCCATCGGCACCTACTATTTCACTCTGCACAACGTTCACATCCCCACAAGTCCCTGCATTTCAAGAGGTCGATGATGATTCTGATCTGATCCAGGCTGCCAGATCTCTCAATTCAGACCAGGTGGTTAAGGATGCGGCAGAGCTGATGGAGTCTTTTGAAGAAGGGTTCAGTCTTGGGCATGGCCACGGAGATGAGTGCGATGAAGATGAAGCCGGTGATGTAGAGATAGGCGAGGCTGAGACTAGTGAGGAATGTAGTGACAATGTAGCAAGAGCAAGAGCAACCAGTAGCATTGGCACCACGAGTTTTCAGCCCTCAGCAGCAGCCCAAGCCACAGGATGGGCTGATGAGTACATTCTGCAGACACGACGGAAAAGTGGGCAGGTTACTGAGCAGGCAGTCATTGCTCAGTGGAAGGCATGTATCTTGCTCATCATTTTTTTTTCAGAGGAAGAGAAGAATTAACGGAGAGTCCCTGTAGCAATGGATCCCCCAAGCCATCCATGATGGACTTGTACACAATGATATTGTAGATGCAAATTTAATTATTCATTACCTCAAATACACTGCAACATGACAACTTCTCACGAAGCAGGGAGCACCAAAACAGACTAACAAAAGACTCTCAGCAGTATGTGATCTATATCTGTCTGCTTGTGTGATCCTATGCTAATAGCCATTGTTCCAGTCTTCCCTCAAGAAGATCATGACAATGCTTGGTCGAGTTCATGGTCGACAGGAGGATGACAACCCTGACTTGAAGCATAGTCGTCCGGCTGCAAATTCTCGAACTGTTGAATTCTACAAGGCCATAATGATCCAGGCACAACGACACCATCTTCAGTAAGTGATTTGGCTTTTTCACACTTTCTAGAAAGCATTAATGACCTAACTACCTAGGACCGAAGATTTTGACATCGCAAAGAACACGATTCTAGACCAGGAGCTTCAGCCAGACCAGTTCAGTGAGATTACAGCTGCGATTTTTAGCCAGAATCAAGGTATGTTATCCTATTTTAAATATCCCTGAGAGTTTCTTCCTTACTTACTGTTCGTTGTGAAGTCCCAACCATTATCAAGTCGCATTTTGCATGGACTTGGCAAGCAACAACCCTCAACCGTGGAGACGAGGTGATCAACCTGCCCATGTCATGTCTGCAGCCCTACCATGTCAACATCCCAGACTTCCGATTCTCAAACGGACAGGTATCTGGTCAAGGACGACAATTATTTGGGGTCCTGAGTCTTTTTTATCAAACAAAGGTCGCAAAACCAGGGGTTAGTATCAATTCATTCACCCTTTTCCTCTTCTATTCTGACTATGTTTGATCCCAGAAAACGGCGCCCTCTTACAGCTTCGTTTTACCTAATAGAAATATCTTACGGTGTCTGATTGGTGCCCTCTCTATTCAATTACAGTACATGTTTGATCAAGAGCAGCTCTGTTCTAAGGTCAGTGGATGGGACTGGACAAGGCCATCTACATTCCGCAGTGTCAGTTCATTATACTGAGCTCATTTATCATTTACTCACTGCAAAATAAATTTCATAGCAATTGTTGATGTTCGGGAAAACTGTTGACAAATGCTTTACTGGAGATGCCTTCAGAAAGATGTACCAGAACTTTCTGGATCGAACATCGGTCACAACAAAGAAGAAAACGCATCTTGCATGCTGAACAATGCCCACAATCCTGGAAGATATGGGGTAAGTTTCTTTTGGGTCACTCGTCTCACTATTCTGTGCACTTACAATTACTTTCCAAAGTGTTCCTTCAGATCAGGTTGATGCGACAGGCAACTGGCCCGGTAATGAATGGCGAGAGACTTATACAGCAAAAATTCCAAAGCTTGTATGTAATCCATCTTCATCATTCACGCATGGTGTTTTGACCCGATCCATTTCCAGGCCGTCATTGCTCTTGCAGGTTTTGCAGTTGGTGAGACCTACTCAGTTCCATGGGCTAGTGTAGATGTACCTGTAGAACTGCAGAAAAGGGTCTTTCCATTTGTTGAAGGGGCTTTAGCAAGCTTACAGGAGAGTGGGTGCCCAAATGAAGGAACATATAACTTTCTGTGGCTCCTTGTGGAACTGCGATCTTTCTTCTGGAGGGTAAGGCTGCTTTCTCTTTTTCCACTGTGGTTTCTGACGACCCTTGAATCAATTAATTTAGACAATGGCTGCAATCAGTCTGCAGTTTCCAAACTCAGGGCTTCTTCAACACATCAAGATTATTCAAGATGCCAATGCAAAGGCCTTCTTCAGCAAGTGGCCCTCTGCAGTGAAAGCGCAAGAGGACTTAAGCCTCACTGATAGTGATATCAGTACCTTATTCCATGAGACGTGACATGGCATGCAGTTTCAGCCATGTCACTTCGTCTTCATGGTCTTGAGGATACTGCCCAGGCACAAACTCGCCTGATGGAATGTTTGATTTCTCGCACAGATCCTCTATCTCCATCGAAGCAGCCTTCAGGAGGTAAGGGTGCCATCATCCAATTCCCATGTTCAGCGAGTGCCTCTGTGCAGCACCATGCTGAAGAAAGTACTGTTCCATTGAGAGGTGAGTTGCAGCTGTTGGATTTGAAAGCCCTAGCCCTGATTAATTTCCTTTTGCAGCTTTAGAAAATGATCAAGACGTTCACATGTCCTCACCACCAAGCTCTCCAACCCTGTGTCCTTGTCGGCTCTTTGATTCAAATCTCCCATTTGGCAATCTCATTCCAGTATCGCCATTTTGCAGCCCAACAAGATCAGCAAGCAATGAAGTAACAACTTTCCCTACACTCTCATCTTCTAGACCAACCGATATCTTTATACCGTATGTACTTAACATCAATCAGAAGACTTACTATGTACTCCCTATTCTACCATCGCTACCAGACCAGCCCCAGTCTCATTCATCTCATGATCTCATTATTCCTTCTCTCGCTGCGTACTCTCCACAAGTCCTACCAACATTCAAAAAATCAGAGGCAAATTGGCAGTCTGTATTTTCATGAGTAACGGATCCAGTAAAGCTGTGGGACTGTTATGCCCCCAGGAGTCTCGGAGATTACCCTGATGTGAAGAGTATCTGGCAATCTTGGAGTGAGGGAGCCATCATAGAGGACATCGGAAGACTGCCGCCAATACGGCTGATTGAAAATAAGTGGGGTAGCTTGAAGAATGGCATTACGGGAAAGGGGAGACTTCCATCATGGAGACCCCGTAATGATGCCAAGGTATGGTTCCATGCATGGCATACCAGTTTCTATTTGCACTAACTAACAAATCACATCCATCTCTAGGCCCGAAAAATCTGGGGCAACTACTACTTCTTTGTAAAGTGCATTGAGACAATGCTTGCAGAGGGCCAAAGCTCAGACGATGTGATCCAGGTCCTTGAAGCATGTCGTCAGGAGCTGACAGGAAGCAAGACTGTCAATGCACTTCACTCTGCTTTACAGATCAAGAAGAAGTAAAAATTTAATTGTATTTTACTCTATTTTATATCTTATCTTATTCTATCTTATCGACATGGAGAAGACCTACCTAACAAGTGAGCGAGATGAGAGAAAGAGAGAGAGAGTCCGAGATGGAGATGAGATGGCTTTGAAATCGGGAATGGCAAAGTCTGAGGTGGGAATGCAGACTTCGCCAGCCAAAGAGCGATCGGCCTGCCAAAAGGTGTGAATAATTCTGTGAATTGGGGCCCCAAAAGTGTGAATCGGCCAGCGAAAAATTGTGAATCGGCCGTGACTTCGCCTGGGCCATGAGCCAAAAAGTGTGAATCACCCCAGCCCAGGCGAGGACTTTGCCAGCAGGACCTGCCTAAATGGGGCACGTTCACAGTTCACAGCCACATTCAAGCTCCGACGATTCATGACAGTTTGCTATAGAACTGGGGAGAACGGAGCTTCTGTTTCATTGCTCTTACACTCTCCCCAGATAGAGTGACATGTCTCGAGAGCTTTTCTGTGTACCCGCCCTCCCATACCCTTCTTCAGACATTTGTCCTCTTTTACTTACCACTTTAACTTCTACTCTGACACAGTGGCAACTTTCCAAGGCCGAGCTTGGTTTTAATGTCTCCCTGTCTAGGCCTTTCCTTGAACTCATGTATTTCATTTATGTATTCCATACTCGTACTCATACTCCCATACTCGTGCAATAATCACTCACACCCAGGCCCTGTCGCTGATCTCAGGGCAGGGTTGCATCTCGGCTAACCTTGCGTGAACTGAGACCCTGTACTCACACAGACAAGCAAGGCAATTAGATTACTCGTAACCTTGTAACTGTATTAACTACAGTCGATATCTTGGTCTGAAATCGGACATGAGCAGAATACAGGGATCAGTACTGCGGACTTGGACTAATACATGAGTGACTCTGTATAAGTTAGTTTTAAGAAAATTAACATTAATTTATCATAAACAAGGACAGCCAACTCCAGAAGCCACATCAGAAATGAGAAGAGGTTACTTCAGAAGGTCTCTCAATTCCTGAAGAGAGTGAAATATGGAACCGCAGAACAAAGAATGAATCATGCTCACTTCCCATGAGGATTCGCACATTCTTTCCTGCTAGGGGCTTATCTGGAAAATCTGCAGCATACTCCATTTCCAATTCATCACAGAAGACTTGCAACACTCCTAAATCTGGCCAGATCCCCTTGTAGTAGAGTACAGCCTCTGAATCTTAGAGTAAGGATCCCTGTTGATACTGAACTGCCTCACTTCAAACATGCGTAGACCATCCCTTCATGTCCATTCTATGTAAAAATCCCTATAACTATAGTGGAACCACTTTTGTAATAATCCCTATAACTATAGGCCTGTCAAATTCATGTATCTGCTAGAAAGCAAAGTTATACATAGCCATAAATTTTCACATACAATCCATTTCTTGGTCTCTCCCCACCACATGCCCAACCAATTCCTGCCCGCTCTTGCACTCCCTATTTATGGGTATCAGTAATAAAATATTTAGTATTCACAATTAAAGCATTGTAAAACAAATAAATAAATAAAAAATACTATATAATACAAAAATAAATTAACATATAGGCGGCATGGGCTAGGGATGAGCTAGGGAGCGATTTAGGGATCGATGGCACTAATGAACATCATGGTGGGCTCATGAGAGAAAATGGAGACCACCATTGGATCCCCCATGTCTTGGAGGACATTTGATGCCCAAACGGACGTCAGTGTCACTGCCATCGTTGGACATTGGCAGCCTGATCTCCATCCTGCCCTCTCACTCTCCCCCTTCCTCCCCAGTATGCTGCCCAGTCTCCCTCTACATCCCTAGCCTAAGATCCACCCTAACCCTCATCATGGTCGAAGTCTCCTGGCTTTTCCATCATCGTTGTCATTGTGGTTGTCACTGTTACAGGTGCCATCCTGCTGCATGATGAGGTCTGATATGGAAACCCTAGTGATATCCTGTGTCATCATCGTGCCGCGCTTGCGTGTCCAATGATGATCGAGGTCGATGTGCATGTGGGGGGCATGGGATGGGTTGCGGTAGAATGTAGGTCATATTGGGGCAATGGCAGGGATGCATGGGTCACATCATCAACGTACAGTGTTGTGGTCATATCTGGCAGTGCTGCCTTGGGTGAGGGCTTACACATGTGGTGGGGATGAAATGGTCACTACCCAGGGATCTTGGGGCCGCCAGATACACCAAAAAGACCTAAATTTGACATGTCAGTATAAAAAACAATTCAAACGTACCATATACCCATGACAATGGGCAAAACAGATGAGCGAGAGGGCAGGAAAGGAAGTGGATGTGGTGGAGAGGAACAGAAAATGGTGCTGCACAGCCACTTGATCACAGTATGGTTGTGCGGTCCGGAGTGATCGACTGAGCAGAATGCATCATTGGGATGCTTCCACTGCTCGATGTACACTCTCCAATGCCCCAAAGCATATCAGAATCTTGTATTATAGGTATAAGGATTGTGTATATATAATTTTTAATGCAACAGGATATCCTCATCTCATGATAATCCTCAATTTACATTGGTTGCCCCACATTTTAGGGCACTTGTAAGCAAATACCAGTTCTATATATTTGTGCACCATCTCAATAGGTATGTTTTTCATTGAAAATGCAAGGTTATGTCTAGTATAAGTCAAAATAATGGTCTGATCCACCCCAATCTGCTTATAGTCTCACCATTATACCATTTCATGCATAAGAAGTGAAAACAGAATCAGGCGAAAGTTCACAAGCTCGTTTTGCATACTACGAGTGTTCATAATATATTCACTTCAGGGCAGATCCATATATGCATTTGTATCATTGATAATTCACACAGGAAGTCTTTTTCTCATTTGTTATATCATTATTTAGATGCACATTGTGCTGCATACTTTTGTAAAAGTTGAATTCAACAATTGTCTCACCATTATTCGCATTTATTGGTCGAATAAACATGAATTAAAGGCTAATTTATTGGCATAAAATGTAAAATCATGAAATATAGATATGACTATCATATTTTCGAGGTACAGAAAGCCCTAGGAGTACGGGATTGCAAGGGTATTCTGTCTTATGCCCCTAATTGGGGTGCATCCAGCAAATTCTAACCATGGTGAGAGAGGCATTTTCCTGTTTGCGTATCAGTTGAATGACAGTATTTAAACTCTGTTAAGCATTTATATATCACATAAATGTATTTTAATTAAACCGAGCCTAAATAATCCATGTGCAATGCAGAATTTTACCCAGCTTTCAAAGCTGACAGAGCTGCTACCGCATTGGGAATGATATTTTCCCACAGTTTTATACATCCAAGTATGCACGGGTGCATCCAGCCAAAATAGGCTGCATGTGGATCAGGAGGCAATAGTAAATCATCAAATATTATTTTTCTGGGCTGCGATTTTTTTTTCGGGCCCAAGCAATGAACACCGATCCAGTGCCCGTGGACCCTAACTTGGCAGCCATATGGCAACAGTTTCTGGACCTAGCCAGGGCTGGCAAGACTGCTACAAGGGATACATATAATTAGGAATCAAAAAGTGATGGCATCTCTACAAGATACATATAATTTGACATTACTATAGTTATAGGGATTTTTACAAAAGTCACTCCACTATAGTTATAGGGAATTTTTGTAGCGAATGGACACTATAGCCTCCATAGATGACCTTACCATCCTCTTCCGCAGTTCATGGGGATCGCTGTACTTTAGGCTCATAGGTTCAAGATAATAGAGCTTCTCCTGGCACCATGACCATTGGATAAAGCACAGTATACTCCGAACATATGATGACTGGAGGAGGGGGATATAGCAAAGGGAAGTACAAGACATTCCATCAGTGGTTGATACCTATTTATTACTTGACAAACAGAAAGAGCCATTTTCATCAAGACAAAAGGGCCTCCATGCAGTTTGTAGTTGTCGGGCATCTCAAATCTCGAAGGCCATGAACTGACGTGAGGATGATCATGGTATATTCAAGTATTTGGTCGAGACACGTTTTGTTGCCAATATCCGTCATGGAAAAGAGCAGCTGGTTTCTCGGAGGAGTAAAAGGAACCCCTCCAAAGCTGAACATCATGTGAACTGTTGCCCTCCACAGTTTAAGCACTTAAAAACAAAGTATAGGTCTTCCTATCCAAAACGGCCTGCAAAAGGAGTGAGGATCCGTGCAATGGAATTTATCAATTGGCAAGTTGTGGCATATAAAGGCGGCACCGGAGTTCAGTGGGAAGGTCCTTTGATGAGACAATCAAGGTGCTGTCTGTCAACCTGTGTACTGCTGAAAGTGAATTGCAGAGGTTGCTTGGCTGACCATTTGGTAATGATCCAATAGAAGGGCTAAACCCTCTCGATTCCTCAACACTTCACCATCAACATAAAAAGACGCCAGAAGCTGGGATGGTCTTGGCAGGCAGCGCACCATAATTGGAAAATGTGTGTGTGTTCCGATGTAGTAAACTGCTCCTATGTTGTGACAGAAGATTTCTCTCAGTGGTTCCACAACAATATGTGAAATAAGTGACGAAACTGTAACACAGAGAGCTATGTTCTTCAAAGACTGAGACAGAGGTTGTAAATGTACCTAGGGCCCATGCTGCCGATGGCATAGTTGGAACTGGGTCATCGATATCACCACAAAAAGTGAGAAAAGGTTATGTATATTTATGAACGATCACTTTATATATAATCCAATGTAAATATAAGCCAGCATCATATACCTTAATAAACCTGGTGTAGGGTTAGCCAGGGTTATACAGAGTTGTAATCCCTCCTGCATCATGTTTATAATGTCTTACAGGCCCACAAGATACCAGCAAAGGTTTATTTTGGTTTGTCAAAGCTTCCAATTAGTTTACAACATAGCAAATTCAAAGTCAGGATCTAGGCCTATCTCGTTATCGTCGTCATGGCAGATATCATCTAGTTCACCTTCTGCCTCATCATCCAGATCCATATCATCCTCAGTGTCATCCTCTGAAGGCTCTTCCAAATCTGTCTCCCACTGGTTCTCATCTTCTTTGACCAGCTCTGCATCATCGTCATTGTCACCAGGCTCTTCGTCTGTTTCCCATTTGTCATCATCTGACCTATCCTCAACTTCTGCTTCCTCATCACTGTCTGCATCCACTTCTGACTCGTCCATCATATCAGCCACCATTTCTGAGTCTGACTCGTCTGTGGTTGCTTCCAATTCCGAGTCCGAACCCATGTCTATGTCCTCCCCAAGGTTGAAGACATCTGGTGAGAGATTATAGGCCCTACAAAGGTCCTCTCGAAAGATGTGTGTTGCTTCCCAGGTTGCCTGGTGGCCAACACCAAGTCCACAATACTGAAATGTCATATCATGATCAGCCCACCTTGTAACACATTCAGATAAGCACAAGCTTGGACAAAGAAGAATAGGTACACACATGTCAACTGAATACCATTCATAATCTTCATCATTCTCTTCAGGCCTTTGGGTGATTGACGGCGGTAAGAATTCAGTGGTCTGACCAAGCTTGTAGACAGGAATAAGGTGGATGGCATGGATAATGTCATCTGGATCTAGAAAACCAAAAGCCTCGGGATCGGTTCCATTCACAAACTCAACATGATGAGGACACTTTGCCTGGAAGCCTGAGTGATGTTTACTGTCAAAACCATACCACCGGACCCATGCAAAGTCAACGCAAAAAAACTTTATGGTCTTCTAAGTCTCCTTCAGGGTCGTTGTAATGAACCTCCACATGGAAAAGGCCAATGATCCGGGCATACCAATATGGATGTGTATCATTCAGATCTGAGTTGTTAGTGAGGACAATGACATCTGAGCATGTCCGAGGATTAATCGAGTCCTGGTCTCAATGGACATCATAAGTTGTGTAGTTGATGTGGAGAATTTTATGGCAAAAAATTTGATCATTGACAATATGTAGGTTGCTAAGCTGCTTGGGAGTTATATCATCATCCTGAGCAGTCTCGTTGATGAGAAGATGGCGAAGGATGTGTTCTTTGAGCTTTGGGATGAAATCCTAGAGGTGATATTAGCTTAGATACCAGAGTAAGACCAGGCATTCTTATGACAATAGCAAGATTGCCCTCATTTTCTGCAAGCCAGTGATGAAGGTTCAGGGGATAATTCCTCGACAGGGACATCTGATAATGATCTTCTGGTTGTCCCTGGGGCAATGGATCCTTCTCATTCGGGTTGATTATCACACTTGATGTCTTCTTGGGCCTTGCCTTGATTTTGGATATCCGCTGTGCGAGAATATGATGTAGATGCCTTTGCTGCCACTCGAGTATGGCAATCTGCTTGACATGTCCCTGTTTGTTTGTTCGAGCATAGAACAGCTTGACATGGTGGTGTTCCTGTTCTCCCTGGGTGTTACTGTTAGATCTGGAAATGAGAATACATCCTAAAACTGACTATTTGCGTGCTGTACGAATCAGCTGTACCAAATTTTGGAATGCTCCAGATATAGTCACTGATTGCATGATTTTTGTATGTGTGAAGATTGAATGCCTTGATGGACTTGTAGATACTCCTAGTTGAGGCTTTTCCAGTGGATGCCATCGTCTTCTTGGCAGTGCAAACAAGTCTCCTAACTTGAGCTGCCATTTCGGCGGGTGTCTCTCTTGTATGGAAGTTCAGGCAAACCTTTTGCGAAAATAATCGAAGCTGTCATCCAAGAACTGTCATTACCCCTTGCAGAGCCTCGAGGCTTGAATCTGTATGCATCCATGCCTTTGCAAAAGCATGCCATGTGGCCCATGCAAAGACGGTGTCCATGATGATTTTGTTGTCCTTGGCATCAGGTAAAATTCCATCAAAACATGGGAAGGAACACTAGCAATTGCATGGTCAGCGGAATACAATACACTTCGAAAACAAGGGAAAAACCTGAAGTATGTCTTCATAATCTCGAGCCGCAAACTTCTTTTGGCCTGAGACATCATTACTGAACTTGTGAATTGTGGAACGTCCAAATGTGGGTATTAAACGATATCTGTACAGCAAATCAGCATTATTTGAAAAGGTATAATTGAAACGACACACCGCTTATTCAATTTCTCAATTGCTCCAGGAATTGCATGGCAAATGCGAACAAGATGGGTAAACAGTGATTTCCAACTGCCACTCTCTGACTCATGCATCAAGTCTGGTACAAACATTTGATAAAAATTGAACCCAAGAGGCAATAGAGCTTCAGAGAATGCATTCTAAGAAGATACATTAGCATTAACAAACATAGGAATAGTAGCAATTCAAATCTTACTCGGTTTGGTGTCAATGAAATAGGTCCGATGACTCTCTTGACTCACTTTCCTGCTACAGGATAACCTCGGGTGAAAATCCATTTGCGAACAAGTTCGACATCATGCTGTCATTGTTCAGAATCAATTCTAGCAACACGTTCCCGGTTGGAAATGTCCTGCTTCATTCCCATGTCAGATACCCGTTCCTTGACTATTAAGCAACGTGGACACAGGCAACGACCGAGGTACTTGATGCTGGTGAGAAGAACTCTGTATTGGATGGCAGTCAGTATCTATGTCAAAAATAAAGAATTGCGAATCACTTCTCTGGATAGTCTGCCGAGTATGTAAAAAACCGAGGGTAGATACGATGTAGAATACCATCTGCGCACTCAATAACAATGCCGTGGACATATGCATGCATGAATTCTGGGTCCAGGAGAAGCTTCCAGATCTTTTGCATAAGTTCACACTTCAAGAAAGTAAGTGTTTCCTTCGATGCTGGGGATCCAAAGGTATTCATGTAGACATCTTGAATATTATCTGGTAACTGAATCCTAGGTCAGAATAATTCGTTATAATGGAGGAAACAAATGCAAACCACAGGAAAATACGCAAGGTGATGGCTTTGAAAGAATGATGGTATTGCTCGCACGTACTTCGACATCAGTCTGAATGTGAGATATGCAGGCCAGAGTGAAGCAGTTCCGAAGTTCACAAGACATGTCGAATCTGAGTAAGCCATCATAGGTGCCACCACAGTCTCCAACATACAGCCTGGCTCTGGAATAATTTGATCTTCCATCTCCAAGAAGGCATCTGATGTGTAGGCCTCACTGTAAACACGTTCAGTATGACTGTCTGGTTGTAGCCAATTTTCCTTGAATCCCTTGAGATGGAAACAGAGTGAAGACGCATCCTGAAAGGCAGAACGAACAATATCCAGTAGCGAGCGATGCCAAACATCAGGAATATCAAGGGAAGGTGCATCATCTTCAGATGCATGACATACACCTGACTGGGGAAGCTGAAGCATAACATGATCACGGATCCATCCATCAGCTACAAATGCTGGCAATGAATCAGAGTCCAGTCGTTTTGCTTCACAGTTGGCATTAAAATCCTTCAGATGTGAGGCTGAAAAGTCTGGTGCAAGCAAAACATCGGTAATGAGACGGTTGAGGTCACTCAAAGTCTTTGTAGTGGTAGAGTAGAACCAGTGCATAAGCCGGCACATTGTTGGAGTCATGAAGGATGCAAACCAGCTTGAAGAATCCAATTCAGATATATTCAAGAGATCCTTCAATGAGAGTTGAATATTATCTGTAGCATGTGTGCCATACACACAGAGCGGGGAACATTGCTTGAGGATATCAGGAGGGAGGGAAAATGTAGGGGCATCACAAAGGTCCGCTATAGTCAACGCATCATCAGGATCCACTGATGGTAGTGTCTTGTACTGCTGGTATATCCCAAACATGTTTGGCTCTGTCATAATTAGTGGCTGTGGCTCAGGCATTGGAGATAGAGATGATATTTCACTTGATATGGAGGAAATGGGACTGGGAGATTGTGGTCGAAGTGCGGCATATTGTTGAAGGGGAGCAAAGAAACTTCATGTGGGTAGGTAATCTTGAAAGCGTCGGGGTATTGTACGGTTATGCTGGGATCGCTAGAGGAGTTCAGGTTCAGATTGGGGTTGAGGTGAAGAGTAGGTATCCATTGTTATATCATTATTGAATACAATGGAAGTATCTTCAGACTGCTAAAAAGGGATTAAGCAAACAAAACATAGAAAAAGACACCAATATAGCTCACAATCATAGACTCAGCCTCTACAGGACTGGATGCTCTCTCTCCTCTGTCTCTTGCAACCTTTCTTGCCCTTGACGCCAAGGCTTGTAAACGCTTTCCACCTCCCTTCGATGATGGCACCTTTCCTAATGCTCCAATAGTCTGAAAATGTTCAGCATGTGTTGGGCAGCGTGATTTGTGGCCACTAATAGCATGTGCATTATTTCTGATTTTTTTGCTGCAGTTGCAGTGATACGTGACCATGATAATGAGAAGAAAGATGAAGCTCAGTGGTTGTATACAGTGCATGCTAGATAATGAGGTCACGGTTAACTGTCTTATCAGAAAAGACATTTTTAGAAGAAGAAATACCTTTTCAGTACTCAGTACCCTGATTATTCAAGGAAAAAGTTCAGCTGTGCATATTCCCCATGAGAACGGATGGGTAGGTCGGAAGAGAGGGTGAGATTCCTAACTTGGAATTACTCTGTCACAGTCCTAGCATTATGGACAGACACATCTGTCACACCTGTCACTGACATGTCTGTCCTTCCTTCCTGCCCTCATCTTCGTTCCCCATGCCTCAGTGTGCATCCTCCAAGTCTTCATGGTCTAAACCTCCCAGCACTGCTGCTCAGTCTGTCATCAAGAATTCAAAACCTCCCAGTAAGAATACAAAGCCTCCCAGCAAGAATCCGAAGCCTCCCAGCAGTCGAAGTTCAGTAAAGCCAAAGACGACCACTGAGAGGACGAAGCCTGAAGTCAAGCAATCAGTATCAACTCGAAAGCCTTTAGCACCGAAGGACGCCAACAGATCATTGGCCAAACATTGATTTCTTACACCCCAGACATCCGATACTTTGGAAGAAGACAAGTATGACGAGGCTGCCAATAATGATGAGGAAGAAGCTCTTGAGGAGGTCAAGGTTGATCAGGAGGAGAGAGAAGATAGCTTTGGGGATGATAACGAGGATGCCAACATCAATTCAGATGACAGTGAGGATGGCGATGAGAAGGGTTACAGTGAGACCAAGAAGGGAGGTAAACAGTGCAAGATGAAGCTGAAGGGGAGGATAGAGAAGAAACTGTCTTGCCGCCCCGGTTACACCCAAAAGTAAGTTTATCTAACTGCATATATGTGTGCATATATACTAATTATTGCCTACCAGGCAAACATTCATCCTTGATACATGCCATACCATCAGCAAACTAGTTCCCTGTGCAGTTGCACTCTTTACGCCAGTGGATGACATCATGTGGGCAGGCACTACCCATTCAAACAAGGCCCTTGAGTAAGTGATGTGCACCATTATGAATACCTGACTTGGCTACTAATGAAGTTTCAGGCTTGGTATTGAGATTGCGGATCACCCTCATTCCACCCCTAACGAAAAGTCGTTTGCCATCCTTGAAAAATTCCTGGAGCATGATGTAACTATCTTCAAGGCCCTGCACTGTTTTCCCAAGCACCAAATTGGCATGCAGGCAATGATCAAAGATGTGAGTAGCATCATTTTGCTTGGTTTAAGGTTTGTGCTGCTAATCCAGTGAGTGTTAGCTATGCATAGGCTTCAAGGAATCCTGGGGAAGCGACACAAACAAGGTCCGAAATGACATTCTAACACTCCTTGTTGAAGATCCTGTGAACAAGACAATCATGCTCCCTAAACCCACACACAAGATGGTGCAAGGCTTCAACCATATTGATACCGGATGTTTGCTTTGCCCACAGATATACCTCAAGCGATTTGACGAGAAGTAGTTCCCTCATATTTTATAATAGGCATAAACTAATGAGCCATTTAGTGACCGGTTTATATTTGATCTGGCAAATGGTAAGGTTAAAGTGATGGCATCAGAGTGGCCATCGTTTCTTTATGACCAGACTCTTTATGACCCACTCGACAATGAGGCTGGCTTTATGAAGGGATACCTTCTTTTACGTGTGCGTATTTCTTGCATGCTCACTTTACTGGTCTTACGATCCTTGGACAGGTATTTTTACATATTTTCTGCAGTAATGGTGACCCCATGAAACAAGAAGGGCCAAAGCGTGGAAGCATCGCAAAGATCAATGGTATTTGCCTGGTTACTGGATGTATGATTGCCTATGCTGCATGCCAGGTTAGTATCTATTCATGTTCGGCGACTGTCTGTTCTGATGCATTGATTAGGGGTGTTATGCCTTATCTTCCAAGGATGGGTGGACTGAACAGGATGGAGCCTTCGACATGACTGCATTCTATGACAGCATTGTCGCTCTCTTCGAGAGTCACCCTGATGATGAATGGATGGTGGAGACACTGGCCTGGTGGAATGAGTACGTGTTTTCCCTCGTGTATTTGTTCATTTTATAATTATTTGCTGTATAGACAGATATTTGGCGATGAGAATGGACGTACAGATGTTGACAAGACTCAAGATGCCCACCCCCCTGATAGTACAGTTGCGAAAATGGCAGCTCGTCATGAGGCATGGGCCAAGGCACAGGCAGAAGCTGCTGCTGCTGCGACTTCGGAAGATCTGATGGCAACAGACTAGACACTGGTGCTTGGATATTAGGTTATGTGTTCATGCTTTCCACTTTCAGTTACCTTTACTTCTGCTTTGCTATGATATGACTACTGGGTTGTGGCGACTTTTAAAGAGTCTTGATGTGTTTTCTCGATGTATTACTATTGCTGGATGGTACCGTACGGAATAATGTCTTATAGATGAATTAGAGAATGTATTTGCTTCGCCCTATTGCCTACTGCGAGTGATTCCTGAGCATCTAATGAGTGGGATATGTCCTATACCGAAGTCATTTGTAGTAATGTCTTTGTTAGGCTATATATATGCCTCAAACTCATATATTGGAATATTATTGTCGTTCCATTACAGGTAAGGCTAGCAAGGTATAGTGTCGTTGACTGGGTTTATTTACCATTACATCCGTGCATATAATAGCTATATGATAAAGTTGAGATACGTCAGATATCTCTATAACCAACCTTACCATTAACATTGTTTATAAAGGGTTCTGTCGTTTACCTAGTCTTACGACAGGTGACTTGGGTCTGTACTCGTTCCTAAATCTTGCGCATTTCTTGTGGTGATGATTGATTTGAATCGTCGTGGATTGTTGTCAGGTTCAAGTCTCCGAATTCGAAGTTTCCTGATCACCAAAAATGATCTTCGTTCTGACACAACACAGTCGCACCTTGATTTTGACAAGACATTGTTATGTGAGTCACTGGATGGTGACCACCACTATTTACGTTGGTGGAAAGACGGCCCCGAATAGTCGGTCTCCCACCCTTCATCCTCCTGGAGTAAGGAAGATTTGAATTACAGCGCCTAGCATTGAAGAAGAAACGTCAACATGAGGGAGGTCATTCTGCGCTTCGGGAGGTCTGAAGCTACCAGGCATTCAGGCTCGCATCATCTTAACGATTGTGATACTCACTACTGATATGAACCGAACGACAGGGCCATAGCGCCACCTTCTTCGTTATCTCTCTGCACAGTTCAGCCATCCCCAGGGCTGTCAGAAAATCTTTTTGGGAGTACCACGGTTGATAAGTTACTCACCAGGAGAGCCAGCGCTTCTCTCAAGCGCTGAGACGTCACGATGTAATCTGATTCGAACCTGGGAGAATTTAGAAGAGATATAGGCGCCCTCTGTCACGGAAATCGGAGCCAATTGGTGGCGCTTTCTGGTCTCCCGACTCGGCATTGAGCGTCACTCCTTGATACTTTATTGCACTGCTGCTCTGAGGAATGTGAAGGAGACCGATACCGTCGTATCTGAGAGCGAACCCAGTCTTAGATTTAAGACCAAAAACAGCTTTATCCGTCTCAGATGAGATCGTAGGGCGCTACAACCGGTAGCAGTAAGAACCCGGACGCAGAGAATATCCCATCACAGATCGAAGTCCTTCTTGGTCGCGAGTTTTTAAAATCCGATCCGATTCCCAGCGGCGATAGAATTAGGCCAAGGAACATAGGTTATTTAAAGCATAAGCTCGCTGAATTGTTAAGAAGGAAGTTTTATGAATATTCAGGAGAATCTTTGGCTTGAAACACAAGAGGCAGTAATAAGAGGAAGTATAGCGTGCTGCTGCTTAAGGCGGCGAGAGAAGGCGACATGATGGTTGGGATCAAGTCGGGAGACAAGGCGGAGATAAAATTAGATCATCTACAAATTTCATGTCCATTGTAACCGTGCCTTACGAACCTTAACGGAAACCTTTTCGGACTCTTCATACGTCGCCTTGGCACATGAATTATCTCTTCTCATGAGTACGGTCTTTAGGATTTCATTTTTATTGCGCTTTTGGTTCGATGCGAAGATCACACGTTGACGGTTACCGTGTTGCAGTTTTTTTACGTTCTTGACACCTATATTCTCACTGCAGGCACTACCGTTCTCATGACCTCTTCCGTGGTCAACTACTTCTGCTCTTCAGCGGTCAGTAACCATGTATTTTGCCGTCACAAAACAAGTCAGGCATCATATCATCTTCGTGCTCCAGTCCAACTCTTTTCTTGTCCGGGTCATTTCTTTATCTCGTCGACGCCCTTGGGGTACTTTCTTGCTTCATTAGCATGTGTTGCGATAGGCGCTTGCTACGATAACCGGAGTTTAAAGATGTCCTAATGCTCCGTTGGGGTCTGATGGTCACCGCAAGATCATCGGTGGAGCAGGGGAAAAAAGCGCCCCTTCACTGGCTGCGACGGATCTTTGCCATGGCTAATTTTCTCTGCGATGAGGTACTTCAATCAGCTCGGTCACAAGTAAATAAGCTTCTTCTCGACTTTTTCGACCAGACTGTCTGAAAGGACTTACAACTATCTGATTCGTATACTCGGGCGGCATTCGGGCGGTTGACTGACCAATTTTGCTTCCGAACACGACATTTTGGGGTCGTGCTGGACGAACAACATCTGAAGGAGCCAAAGTAGATAAGCATCTATTTTTCACGGAGAAGACCTGGAAGCCCTTGTTCACAGTTTGCTTTCCAAAAGCTCAGGCGCGCAGTGGGGTTACTTTGGCAAGTTTTATCTATGGCCCAGAATTTGCTCTCACAATTTGATATTCCAGTGATATTAGCATTGCTAAAGGGGTTCCGAAGACTATTGTTAGCCCAGACTTAGTAACTTCAGGACGTTCATGAACATTTCGTCCGTTGGAGATAATCAAGACAACACCGGGATTCCTCAAACTCCGACAACTTATATTATTAGGTGAGTGCCAAACGATCTTCCTTTAACCTCGGTCCTTTATCCCTCTTTTCTCTCCCTCATGTCATCAGTAAAGGGAGTCGCAGTCGTTACTGGTGCTGCTCAGGGTATCGGGAAAGCAATCGCCCTTCGATTAGCAGACGATGGTTTCGACGTCGCCGTGAACGATCTCCCATTGCCTGACAAGATTGCAAAGTTGAAGGACGTTCAAGAGGAGATTATTAGGAAAGGTCGCAGATCAGCTATCTTCCCTGGAGATGTATCAAGTGACATGGACGTCAAAGGTATGGTGGAAGGTACCGTGAATGCGCTGGGTGGACTGGATGTGGTATGTTATTTTATATTCATTTCCTACTATGTCTACTGACGGCCATCTTTGCCATATAGATGGTTGCGAATGCTGCTATCTGTCGTAATGCTAATATACTAGACTGTGCGTACAACCCCCCTCTACCCAGTTTCACCGTCACACATACCTTTTCACGCAGACACGGTAGAACAGTGGGATCAAAGCTTCGCCGTTAATGCACGAGGTTGCTTTCTCTGTTATCAATATGCGGCGAAGCAGATGGTGAAACAAGGACGGGGAGGACGGATCATTGGATGCTCATCTTCTGCTGGAAAGCAAGGTCGGTCGTAAAACTTCATTCAGAACATCATGCATCATGTTGGACGATGCCAGGTTTACCGATGATGTCGCTGTATGGTGCGACTAAGTCGGCCATTCGGGGACTAACGCAGGGAGCCGGTATGCACCCATTATTGTCTTCTAACTCTTTTTTGATGGCTTCTTGGATATAGCACTTGATCTTGGCAAGCATGGGATCACCGTCAATGCGTACGCGCCAGGTGATTGATGTTCTCCTGATCTGCGACGCGCTCGGATCACTCACCAATTTGCAGGCGCTGTTGATACTGAAATGTGTACGTATCACACGTTGCAAATTGGCGAGTCGTCATAGCTCATCCTGTTCTAGGCAGAGATGCTGCACTTCAGCAGGGAGACTTGGATGAGTTAATCAAGACGGTACGGTACCGTTCTCTTGTGGATAAACCGACTGACATCGAGTAAAGAATGTGACCCGTTCGGCACTGGATTATATTGCCCAACCTGAAGATATAGCAGGACTTGTATCTTATCTCGCTTCCAAGGAGTCGCATTATATGACCGGTGCGTATCTTGCATTACTTTTATGTTCATCGATTAACCCTCATAAATGGATATCTAAGGCCAAACCGTACGTCTTGTCATCGAATAATCGTAGCCACGATCTGCTGACTTCTGTCTTCATTAGCTGGGAATAAACGGAGGATGGTGTTTTGATTAACTGAAATTGTTTAATCGTAATTTAGTTTCCAATTACTGATCCCCTATCGGACACTGCTTCGATGTATTGCGGCCAGAGATGCCTTCCAGGATCAAAATCGTCGATCTACTACCAGAGTCCTCATTCTCTAGGTACTGGCAACCATCGAACGCGTTCCAGGGGTTAATGCAGGGGGTTAAGAACTCTTTGATCTTCGTTTAGGGAACGTCTAACGGCTCAGTTCCGTTCTGATACCACTCCGCAGTTTGACTAAGGATGTCTTCGATGGATCGTCCTCGTCTGTGGCCGAGATGTACTACACACCTGTCCAGGCTCACTTACTAACAGAAAACTAGCCCTCACGGATGTGTAGGCCCTGTTCAAGCTGTCATAGCGACCACCTCTGTGCAGACTTGGATTGGCAAACTTTTGTTCCCTGCTGGCACGAGGCACTCTGAGATGGATTCTTCGTATCTTTCGGGGATCTTTGCACTGTGGATTAGCTGTTCGAATGCCCTCGTCCTACTGTTTGGGTTGACTTACTAAACGAGATTTTTACGCCCATTTTCTACCGTTATCGATATCGGAACCGCGTTGTCGGCACAAACCTTCGGTTCTATATCGGAAGATCATTTTGTACAACTGCACTCGACCAAAGGAGCTACTTGTCGCGGGTATATGGAACAGGCTGAGAGATACTGCTTGGACCGTACCGCTCATTATTTTCCGCCTGAGTCCGCGTGCAAGAAAATGGGGGCAACCTGATTCCGATCCATCATCGAATTGATCAATGACTGATGCCATGACTTATTCATTGATCTGCAGTTTTTTTGATCTCGGCTTCAGTACCGGTGCAAGCCAACGTATCGTATCGCCCTTGAAAAGCATTCACCAGACGCATATTACGAAGCTGGATCTCCTCGACAAACCTTAGAAATTGGAAGGCCGTTCTTCGATGAATGTACCGCCAGATATGGGTGTGGGAGCCCTTGGTCTTGTAGAGGCCTCCCATGTGGAGATCCTTCGGATAAACTGGAATAGTGCTATTTACAACTATATTTCCACTCGTACGAATTTTCTTGAGGCGAGCCTCATACCGGCTTCACTGCACAGCGTGGAGTGTTGATTAAACGATCCAGATTCACCCCTGCTAAAGGCATGTCTCTTCGCATTTTATCAAAGGGTATAAGGTACCTCTGCATCAGAGGCCGGTGTCACAAATCGATGTCTGCTGTCCAGGTCTTGATCTCTCTGGACTGTGCCTCTTTTGGGGTCCAGATTTCATTTTTTCCTGCAGTGACATGGGGCGAGAATCTATATACAACCGGCTTCATGGTGTCCCTGGACAAAAGATATCTGTCTTTGGAGTTAAACGCGTCTTACTCCGAGTCACGAGACCTATCGAACGGTCACTTTTCACTTCGTGACAGGAGCGGGATATATTAGATCCCTTCAGAAAAGGCCTAAGAATTGGGTCATTGAAGGGTGGTGGCGACATCAAGACTTAAGGGGAAGATGGGCTTCTGGACGGGGAGCTCAAGAGGTAGGGCATTATTCTCTTTTGGCTCACTTTTTTCACTTTTAATATGGCACAGCATCGACAGCTTTATTACCACTGTGCTCCCTCTTTCTGGTTCGACTTCCGTAGCTTGAAGCGTGACACATACACGACCTTTCCAATGCTTTGCCCCACAAGGACGACGGATTCGAGAGCATGGGCCCCAGAAGAATTGAAGCTACAGCCAATGACTTTTTGGGCGCGGTCCGATCACTCCGCGACCACGTGTACTTGAAGCGTGCCATTTACCGGACTTGTCCGTATTCGTAGCGGTTTGTCCCGCGACTATCATCAGCTATAGTGCATTCTCCCTCTTAGACCTACTTATCGAAACGGTTCCGACACCTTGTCACAGCCAATGGATCTTTATTCTGGAAGAAGCTTATTGAACCCTTAAAGCATGGCTTCCAGCGCAGAGTTGAAACACATGGTATCAATCGGAACTCATGTTTTCCAGTATTTCTCGGTATCGATAATAAGCTAAAATATTTTAGGGACGCAAGACTAAATAGAAATATCTCTTTCTGTATAATTCTTGACCTGTCGCCCAACTACGTATTATTTGTGAATTGTGAGACATCCGCTTTTTGTTTGAAACCAGCCTTTCTTATCCAACCATCAAGGGATTACCTCGCACAAAACGTTCTTCAGTTTGAATCCCCCATATATTGCTCGTAGCTCAGCATGCCATCCTCTCAAGAACCTGAACATCCAGTACTTGCCTACGTGGATCTCAATAAACACATCAAAAACCGAGCCGTACAGCGTCAAGGCGTAGTTCACGATTCACCCGTTATCGAGGCTCTGAACAATCTTTCCTCTCATCCTTTTGTCTCTTTTACTCTCGAACCATACTATAGTGAATGCGAGGTCACGGGTCCGGGGGAAACTTCCTTTGGTACTCTCGGCTGCCCAGACATCGATGCTATCGGCTCAAAAAGCACACCCTCGTCTTTCGGGAAAGGAGACCAGACAGTCTTCGACCCGACATATCGCGATGGCCACGAGATCAATGCAGGTGACATCATATATCCTCCGTACAGGTGCCCATCACTCGACGACATCGCTTCCCACCTGAAGGTCGCCCTGGGGGGAACTCTATTCCTGCGTAAAGAGGTAGAAGTCAGGCTCTACAAGCTTGCACTGTACGATAAGGGTGGACATTTTGACTGGCACCGCGACTCGACGCACGGAGATGACCACCACGCTACTGTTTTGGTTGCCCTCAACACGACCTGGAAAGGCGGTGCGCTTCATCTCAGACATGGTGGAGAGGAAGTGGTCATCGACATGCAGCCCAAAGTTAAAAAGGCTGACGAGGAATCTCAGCCGGAAATACATCTCAAGGCAGCCGCTTTCTACACCGACGTCGAGCATAAAGTCGAACCAGTGACAGAGGGAGTACGAATTATACTCCAATACGATGTTTTTGTTTCAGAATTGTCACTACCGTCGACGCCCAACTCCGACACGGAGGACTCTAAACTGGATATGGTGGCATTCCATTCGAGCATAAGGTGCGATGATCACGGCAACGAACTTCAAGCTACCTCTCGCTTCGCAAGCGAGGACTCCATCTCAGCCCTCGTTGACGCCATCCAAGAGATCATTTCTAGTGGTACGGAGGAAGTAGGCATACCTCTCCGTTACCTCTATCGTCAAGCCAGCATTCGCGAGGAATACCTCAAAGGCCTTGACGCCATTATCTACGCCAGACTTAGCGAAGTATTCGACGTGGAGCTCGCTCCGGTCATCCTGGAAGAAAATTCCATCGAAGGTAAATGGACGGGGGAGGAGTTCTCGGTGTACAAAGCTTCGTCAGGCAACAAACACGAAGAGGGTGAGAGTCCAAGGAAGAGGGCGAGACGCCCCACCGAGTTTCATCTGAGTGCTGTTTCGGAAATCGTTGAGATCAGTAGGACGGACTATATTGAACACACGGGTAATGAATCGCAGGAAGCTGACTGCAGATATTTTGGAGGTGGGATGTTTCTCCGGGCGAAAAATTCTGAGGCGTAATAATTCGTCTATATCGCCAGGCCATTGCTGTTATCTTTGTATTTTCTCTTCATTTCGTTCCTCCAAAAACATGTATCTTTACAGCGTCTGTATTGAGATCGAAGATATTTAACTATACATCCATGATGATAGACTTTCCAATTTGGTTCCTGCCTTGGGTCTTGTCAAGAACCTCTTTCTCGACTGCTGGTCATTCAACGTCTCGAGAGCCGCTTACCAATGGGAAAGGGATTACTATTCCAATTCTCATCGCTCGGAAAACGCCGATCACTGAGGTTGAACCGTCGAGGCGACTGAATTATCTGGTTATTTCCAGGATCGTGATGGGCGCTTACGATATCAGCGTCGCTGCATTATCGGACATTCCATAAATGAGATCAAAGGCTTCTTAACCCTGAATTGACTCTTGGAACGTACTCGATGGTCTCCAACACCTAGATGGTTCGGCTATTCTTGTGGTACAAGGGACGAGTTTGGCCCTTGGATACATTTCTGGCCGCAATACTTCAATGTATCGTCTGATAGATGACCTATGCGATTGGATAATAGATTACAAATGAACAACTTCTGCTAATCAAAACACCATCCTCCGTTGATTCCCAACTAAGCAAGTAGGAGTCAGCAGATTGTGGTTACAATGATTTAATAAAGACGTACTGTTTGGCCTTAGGTACTCATTTATTACGACAAAGGAGATAAATAAACCAATGTACGTACCGGTCATATAACGCGACTCCTTGGACGCGAGGTAAGATACAAGTCCTGTTATATCCTCAGGTTGCCCAATGTAGTCCAGTGCCGAGCGCGCCACATTCTTTCCTCGTTGTCAGTCAGGCTATCCACATGCGAATGAAATCATACCGTCGTAATCAGTTCGTTCGTGTCTCCCTATTGGAGTACAGCATCTCTGCCTAGAACAAGATGAGTCGCCAAGGGGCTATTGCGAATTCGTGTAATACGCACACATTTCGGTATCTACCGCGCCTGCACATTGAAATCAATGAGTGATCAGCGCGTCGGAAATCTCAAGAACCATTAATTGGCACCTGGCGCATACGCATTGACGGTGATTCCATACTTGCCGAGATCAAGTGCTATCTCCGAGAAGCCATCAAAAAAGAGGTAGAAGACAATAATGGGCGCATACTGGCTCCCTGCGTTAGTCCCCGAATGGCCGACTTAGTCGCACCATACAGCGACATCATCGGTAAACCTGGCATCGTCCAACATGATGCATGATGTTCCGAATGAAGCTTTGTGACCGACCTTGCTTTCCAGCAGAAGACGAGCATCCAATGATCCGTCCTCCCCGTCCTTGTTTCACCATCTCCTTCGCTGCGTACTGATAGCAGAGAAAGCAACCCCGTGCATTAATGGCGAAGCTTTGATCCCACTGTTCTACCGTGTCTGCGTGAAAAGGTATGTGTGACGGTGAAACTGGGTAGAGGGGGGTTGTACGCACAGTCTAGTATATTAGCATTACGACAGATAGCAGCATTCGCAACCATCTATTAAGATGGTTGTCAGGAGACATAGTTTGAAATGAATATAAAATGACGTACCACATCCAGTCCACCCAGCGCATTCACGGTACCTTCCACCATACGTTTTACATCGATTTCACTTGATACATCTCCTGGGAAGATAGCTGATCTGCGACCTTTCCTAATAATCTCCTCTTGAACGTCCTTCAACTTTGCAATCTTGTCAGGCAATGGGAGATCGTTCACGGCGACGTCGAAACCATCGTCTGCTAATCGAAGAGCGATTGCTTTCCCGATACCTTGAGCAGCACCAGTAACGACTGCGACGCTCTTTGCTGATGACATGAAGGAGAGAAAAGAGGGATAACGGACTGAAGTTGAAGGAAGATCGCACGATGCCGGCCTGATTATAAGGTGTCGGAGTTTGAGAATCTGGGGACCTAAAGTCCACGAATGGCTTGAAGTTGCTTCTCGGGCCAAGTCTGGGCTAACATTAGTCTTCAAAACCCTTTTAGCTAATAGCGATGTCGATATCACTGAAATATCAAATTGTGAGAATGAATTCCAATCTTTCGATCTAACCTACGGAAGTAACCAAAACCAGGATGCACGCCCGAACCTTTCGAAATGACAATCTGTGAGCAGAGCCTTTTGGCATCGCCTCTATGCAATGAACTTGTCCTCATCGACTTTAGCTACGTCGGATTTTTTAATTCAGAATACGTCCGCAAAACATCGGGAGCAAAATCAGTTGGTCAACCGCCCGGATGCCGCCCGAGCATATGATTCAGATAGCTTCAAGTCCCTGCGAACAGCGTAAATCAAATGACATCGAGAAGAAGCATCCCTATGTGAGACTGAGTTGATTGGAGCACCACGTCGTAGAGCAAAAAAGAAAAGGCCAAGTTCCGTTGCAGCTAGTGAACGGGCGCTTTGTTCTGCTCAACCGATGATCTCAGGACGACCATCAAACCACAACGGCGGTGACTGGGCCATCTTTAAACTCCGGCTGTCACAGAGAGTTGCCGTCGTACCACATGCTCACCCAGTAAGAAAGCGCCTCCATGAATGCCCTAAGATAAGAAATAAGGTTGACAAGAAAGGCGTTGGACTGGAGCCTACTGGAGCACAAAGATAATGGCTCGCCCGACTGGCTATACCCTTCGGTGATAGAAACCGTCGATACTACCTGATAAAGAATGGATGCACTTAACCACAGAAGACGCCATGAGAACGGTGGTACTTGCGGTGAGAATGGGCCTCAAGAACGTAAAAAGACAGCAATACAGTAACAGGGGACATGTGATCTTTGGTGATCCTTGTATCGAACCAGAAGGGCCATAAAAAAGGAATACTTCATTATTAGAAACTGCACTCATGAAAAATGATGTTCGTGTGAAACGACGACATGAAAAACCAGAAAATGTGTCGGTTAAGGTGTAAGGGTACGGATACAACAGGTATGAAATTCGTAGATGATGCGGTGATCTCCGACTTGGGCCGCGTCCCGACCATGTCATCTTCTCTCGCCGTCTTCTCAGCGTGCTACTCTCCTGCTTATTGTTGCCTTCTGTGTTAAGCCGAGGATTCTACTGCAGGCCCTATGTCCAAAGAAAGCGTCTCTCTTGATTCTTCAGCAAGGATACAAATGATGCCATCAGGGATCGATGCATAAACAATGGAAGATCCCGATCGTGGGACGGTTTACACAGCTGAAGCTTCGGATAGACTCGGCTTCGCCCAGTAGGAGCTGGCCCGCGTTGAGAACCAAATTTAGCCTACGTCCAATTTTTTTAGGACAGAATCTATCCCAATCAATTTGGCCTGAGGCCGGCCCGACGTCTTCAACGCATCCTATGTTCGGCGACAGATACCCCCAGCACAAACCAGCCGCAGCTGAGCACGCCATCCACATGTTAAATTTGGGAGTTTGCCATTGTTTTGCCCATGTTGAACTTTGAACTTCAACCACCACCATCGTTTCGGTGACAGCTTGAAGTTCCCTCCCTTTTTGTATCTCCCTATGCATGGCGCCTGTGCCATTTCATCAAGCGTGGAGGCCGATGAACCTTCCTGGACATTGTATAGGCGGGTTTGTCGCCTGTCCGGTAGAAGGGAGCACTGTGTTCACACATCGCGCTAGATTCTTGTCTGCCTCCGTCTTGTATTGTCTCCCCTCCTTTCGAAATTTCAGCAGCAAACTGGCATGATATGTGTCTGCTGCGTCTTCAAACACTCTAGGTCATCTTGACGGCGATGTTCAACACCCTCGGTGAGTCAAAATATGTTCTGCTAGTGTCTACCATTCTGATTCCCTGTCTTTCAGTCTTTGCCGCACAACTACATATGGCACCATGACCAACGGTTGACTGTAGGCTCAGCCATAGCTTACTTATTATACGTAGTCTATGGTATGTACAGTAGTGCATTAGAGAGCTGCTAATAAAATCATAATATTGTCTATTGCTATATGAAGTCACAATGCGAGCCGGTGTGAGCTGGGGGAGCGGAACGGGAAAGGAGGTTGCTTCAGATTTCAAAATAGCATATAGACTGGGGCCAAGACAGTTTATCCTGGGGTTGGCCCAGTTGTCATATAGCCTGCGGCTGCTAGGCTTATTTCCACCGGAATGCAGCCGGCGGGTGGCTTTGTTCTATCCACGCTCTGGCTAGCCCATGGTTCGACAAGTGCACCACCTGTGTACTTATACTGTTGGGATTTGGCAATCCGGCATCATGCCGAGTTCGCTTATTAAGGAAGAAGGAAGAGGAAAAGTGTGGAAAGTTCTAGTAAAAGTACATTTAGTATAAAAGTAGGTACTTTAGAGTAGATCCTCATGCGTTTGCAGAGCTCAGCCAAGCACAATACTATTGGCTTGCTACTGTGCACATGATACTGGGAATAAGCTGTTACCCTGTTTTCCGACATATACTTTAATCTGTGATTTTTGGCTTAATTCTAACATGGGGGTATGGTAGAATTATGTGGAAAGGATGGTGAAGATGATGCATTGGCCTGATCGTCCGATCCATGTCTGCGGTAACTGTCATAATATAGTATGATGTGAGTCTGAATAGTTGGTGGCTTCAGATCTCCTCAAACTCCTCAAACGCCACTGGAACGGATCAACTAGTAGCCCTCCTCTTCATCAAGAAATGGAAATCTTGCGTGGAATCTGCCTTCATCATTTCCGTGTTTGTTACTCAATGTTAGAGACAGTGGAATTCAAATCTTCTGGACCCAAGGAGGATTGAGGGTGGGAGATCGATTGTTCCGAGCTGTCTTTCTCACAAGGAAAACAATGGTTATTGCTATCCGTAGGTTCGAATGACATTCTCTTGTCAGAATCCTAATGCCGCCTCATCGCACTAAAACTAAAATCATATTTTGTAAACAGGAAAACATGCATATCATTAGTGGAGGACTTCAACCTGACAACAATCCACGACGTTCCGAATCGATAACATTGACGACCGTCATCCAACTATGTCATTGACAGTATCCCTAAACACGTTTGATACCTCTGCCTCCATGTTTGAAGGCCACCGCTCACTGGATCCCAGTTCCGTCGCCTATTTCACGTATTCCTATGTAACTACTAAAAGCAATCTTCTCTCACAACATAGGAGCAATTCACTATCTCGG